GTGTGTGTGTGTGTGTGTGTGTGTGTGTGTGTGTGTGTGTGTGTGTGTGTGTGTGTGTGTGTGTGTGTGTGTGTGTACGTACATATAAACGGAAAATGTGCAGCCTCCCAGGCGACTACGGCTTCGATCCCCTTGGGCTTGGCAAGGACCCTGCACTCCTCAAGTGGTACAGAGAGGCGGAGATCATCCACGGGCGATGGGCCATGACAGCCGTTCTCGGGATTTTGATCGGACAGGCCGTTAGCGGCATCCCGTGGTACCTGGCTGGAGCTGAGCCTTCGGCCGTCGCCCCCTTCTCTTTCGGCTCTCTTCTGGGAACCCAGCTCCTGCTCATGGGGTGGGTAGAAGGCAAGAGATGGGCTGACTTCGTCAATCCTGGCAGCCAGTCTGTGTGGTGGGCCACTCCTTGGTCGAGGACTGCTGAGAACTTCGTCAACACCACCGGTCAACAGGGCTACCCTGGCGGTCAATTCTTTGACCCACTGCGCTTCGTAGGGAGTGTTTCGGGAGGAAAGTACGTGGTGGACTTCGACAAACTGCCACGCCTCCAGACGGCTGAAATCAAGCACGCACGCTTGGCCATGGTTGCTATGTTGATTTTCTACTTCGAAGCGGGTCAAGGCCTTACCCCCCTTCAAGCAATCGGCTTTTAGAAAGGAAGGAATGACTCTTGTTTTTCGGATCCACTTATGCCCCTGTCTCTTATACACATCTAGATGTGTATAAGAGACAGGAGAGAGAGAGAGAGAGAGAGAGAGAGAGAGAGAGAGAGAGGGGTTGAATGACAAATTGGAATATGGATCAGATTGTGGCCACCATTTATTTCGCAGTCAAAATAAATTTTAAATTTATTGAATGTTTTTTTTTTTTTTTTCTGGAAATACCACAACAAAATCTACGAGCACTTCAATTTTTTATTTTTTTAATGCATTCCTCTGAGCGCAAAAAATCACTAAAGTTGGAGTATTTTTTCCTTGGCCCACAGTGACTAAGTGTAAATGTGTCGAATCGGCACGACGATTATTTGGCGGTCTTAATGATTTTTTCTAAATTTTTCTGATATTTTTCCTGGGAAGATCATGACGTGATCTACGGATTGCTAAATTTTCAGATTTTTTTGGAAATGTTATTAGCACAAAAAATTGAAAAATTTGTTAAAGTTGCCTCTTGCAAATTGTGGGATTGGACCTGCAGATATCCTTTTGTGTATGGGTCCGGGGGAAAGTAATGTTCACACACGTCTGCACCAGACCCTCCCTCAATGCCTGGGTCTGAGGGCATTAGCAAACGGTTTTTTTCTTTAGCCCCTTTTGCAGTTCACATGCAAGGGAGGACCGGTCCTCTAACTTTGCCACCGTACCGGTTCTACGCGTGATAGTTGTAGGTAGTCCGTAAAAATGTGGTGGATCCCCCAAGAACTTCGACCCTCTTAGAACCCACTTGTGGGCCGGTCCCCCGTGGCTGAAAATATGCCACCTTCACATAGATGCGGAAGTGTACTATACCGCAACCTTAGGGCTGCGAATAATGAATGTATAGTGCCTACCCCATGTGAGCGGGGAACGCGGCTTGAAGGTAGGCAAAGCAACTGGACTAAGCGTGCACATGAGTGAGAGAGAGAGAGAGAGAGAGAGAGAGAGAGAGAGAGAGAGAGAGAGAGAG